CAGATAAAATTAAGGAGTTTTAATAACTAAAGTCTAATTACACTTATTACTTTAAAAATAAAAAACATTCAGTTATCATATCAATCTTCTAATTCATAAAATATTATTAATAAATTAAATTAACATTATACTTAATTATTAAATCATTGTTCACTGTCATTGTTTTTATATCATTAAAAAATTATTCATATTCTTTTATAACTTCCAAATAAAATGTTTTCAAGTAAAGCGACTTTATCTGATACCCAAAAATATGAATTTGGTTTATTTGCTGCAAATAATAAATTGATCAAAAAAGAATATATATTAAATGGATTGAACAAAAATGGGGGCTATAGTTCATGAATCAACAATATCCTCAATCTTTTTTATATTGTGAAACTTATTTTAATTCGTAATCTGTGAAACCTCTGCAAAATTTTGCAGATCACTAATTAAAATTTTCTAGACTCCAACTTTCACCCCCAACGTAACCACCCTTTATGTTGATATAAACTAAAATTGTACTTTTAACACATGATATGAATCTCGAAGTTTAAATATACAAATTTTCAAAGGGACTTTCTTATAAAATATTTTATGTTTATATGTAGGAATTGCTGGATTCCTGTCTAAAATTACTATATAAAATTTAAAGGTTTGAGTTAGAGGATACAGCTTTTAATGGATTTAATAAAACAGCAAATATAATTTATTCAGATATATGACCATTTGTTATTATAATTTGTCATCAGAAATGGATATAATAGATATATTACATTGACCTGTTGATAATTATTTATACTTTTTAGCAGAAACAGCCAAGCATTGTAGTTGTCCAAGTTTAATGATATTTTTACTAATTTATTGATTTATACTTTACTATTTCAGGAATAATTAATAAGTGCTTTTATATATAGTGCAGGACACCTAGTCCCACAACTTTTTATTGGTCTTGTATATTCTTTAGTATACCAGAAATGGAAATGTAACACACAAAAACAAAACATGATTTTGAAGCTAAGACCTTTCTCCACAAAGCTACGATTTCATTTTGTTGATATGTCACATTACCATGGAGAGATCAAGCCTCAAAGTTGCACAAGTTTACTATGTTAAGCCCAAAACTGTCGCGTTACACGCGATTTATATATATATAAAAATGAACAAATTGAAACAAAATAAAAGTTTTTGAATTTTTAGTTGATGATCACATCCATATTAGGTAACCCAATGTTTATTCTTATTGCCGATTTTACTATTTATGGAATGACTAGGAAATATCACATGACAAAACAATTTTTATTGCATTTTTGATTGGAAATTTTTTCCCAAAATTCGTCGTCGTGGCGCAGTAAGTTGCGGGATTAGGTGTCCTGCACTGTACAATTGACAAATCAATAATAAAGTAATACTTCTCTTATTTTTATGTTTTACAAATCACATAAGCCACATAAATATTTGATATGTCCAAGCTTTTTTACAAGATCTTGAACTTAGGCGAATGAATAAATTAACAAATGAGAGCCAAGTGAGTGTGTAGCATGCTCAACCTTCAACTATAAATTACCAATCTAACTTTATCATTGGATAAATTGTGAATTAAAAAATTAATAATAATACATTGCAAATATATAAAAATAGATATAGATAATAGAAGCCTGCATGAATAACTACTTGAATATATCACCATTCCAAAAAAGTTTCTTACAAAATTGTTTACTCATGTAAAGAGTTTGTTGTTGATGTTAAAAACTAGTAATGTTTCATGCCAAGGTAGTCTCATTTCTATTTATTACTATATATATATATTATATATATAGTATATGGGGCATGCTGCAACAAAACCAGACAAAGTGAACATTGGTGTTACTAAGGATTTCAGGGATCAAAATTTGTAATGTGATTATAATTTGTTATCTTAAGTGATATATAGAACTACTCTTATGTAAAAATAGTTAATATGAAACTTATTTACATCAGATCTACCATGGAACCTAAGAATTACAGCACTATTAGAAGTATTCTAAAAAAAGAACATGGTGAAAAAATTGCTCCTTACATTTTCAAAATAAATGATACTCAGACACTGGAAACTTATCTAAGAAAAGAAAGAATTACTTATGAAGAAAGGAAAATAATATGCAATAAATGAACCTTAACATCAGCTCATGATGAACCAAGAAAGAAAAGAAGACTGGCAGAATAAACAATCAAATCATTATTAATCATCATCTTCATCATCCTCTTCTTCTAGTTCAGTTGGGAGTTTCATCATTGAGCAAGGAGTTTTCTTTTTCAAATCGCTCAACCTAAACTAGCTAAAAGAAGGAGTAATGCTCCTCCTGCGGCTCAAGCAGAAGGATTATTTCTCCTTCAGAAATCTGGTTTAGGAACACTGGTTTCTTTTCCTTGTTGAGCAAAGTGATGGTTCACTCCACCTAATTCTTCCGCATAATATTTAATAATTCCAGCTTCAGTGAATTCAGTTCCATTCCCATATTTAGTCAAGTCTAAGCCTAGTTTTTGCTCATTTTTAGCCATAGTCATTTGGTCTTCCATTTCTTTTTTCTTAGCACTATCATGCTTAATTTGGTAAGTAGCTGAAAATCCAATTACATAGTGGGGAGATAAAGTAAAGAAATAATCTGTTTTTTGGTAATCATCTGTGGTGTCAACAGGGAAAGTTGGCACTCCTTGCTTATCTTTAAAATATTCTTTCAGTTCATTGAAAAAAGTAGTTTTATCTTCTAAATTGAGCAGAATATCAGCAATTTTTTTTAGTTCTAATTCATCTTTTTTAAAGAGCTTTTTATCACCATAATTTTTTCATTCTTGAACTGAAGAAGTAGTAATATCAGCATCAATCTTGAAAACTGACCGAAGATTTTCACTTCTTATTCTGGTTCAGTTAAGTAATTGTTAATCGCTAATAATTCTGTTTCTTCTTCTGGACTAAGACCAATGGTTTGCTGAGCATTATTTAACTCACTTTTAGTAAATCAAAATAAGTTATAATGCTTTTTGAGGTTAGGTTTCTTCCTTCTTTTTTTTCTCAATTATTTAGTCTTTCTTGAAAACTAGTACCTAAACCTTGTCAAGTGCCATAAGTAGGAAGTTGAGCATTGCGAACAGTCTCTAATTGTTCTACTTTAGTGAGATATCCTTTTTCAGTAGCCGTAAGGGGAGTTTCTAATTTGCCCTCCTTTTCTAAATCAGTTAAGAAGTAAATCAAAGTTCTAATAGCAATTGTTTCTTGATAAGTGATAATGTTGGTATCACTGAAATTAGTTAATTTATCACCTAAATTTTTAAGTTGAGTTCGTAAATGATCAATCCTTCCAGTTTCGAGGGCTTTGATTTGATTTTGGATTTGGATTAGTTTTTGTTCTTTGTCAG